TTTTGTTTTGATTTTTGGCTTAAGTTAGGGAGAAGGAGGAGTGGAATGAAGTGGGGCTTGGAGGAGGAGGAGGAGAGGGAGGGGAGGGAAAGGAGGAGAAAGGGATGAAAGCCGAGTCGAATTGGGTTGATGCTGCAAGAAATTCTGCGGAGTGAAAGGAAGTTTAGCATGGTGGCATTATTATGGTGAGCAATACAGACGTTTTAATGAAATCACATCCACACTCTCGTGTGCCACGCCTCAGTTAATTCACCTTCTTCCGTTGATTCCAGCCAATGGCTATATGAAGATTTAAAGGAAACTGGCGCAGTGCCTCCTCCTCTTGAGCTGCAGTGCAACGGATTCGCCGTCTCATTGAAAGGTGGTCATTAGGCGACACAAGATGGCGGCTTGCGCTCTAAGTGCCACATCCAATGCGTGTGGCTTGAAGGCAGCCACAATCTGTGGATGTGTATCCTGTTGTGCGAGACTAACCTACGTGCTTGTGGCCAGTATTTCTGGGCATGGATGTGTCGTTACCAGGCTGCCTTCCTCCCATTTGATGTAGCTTTTCAATCAGTGCATTAAAGGTTTATAGATAAATAAAAGAATGCTTAACTGTATGGCGCAAGGAGAAGAGATTAAAAGAAGATGACGTTGGAATGTGAGGAAGCGTGAGGTGGGATAAACGCTGTTAAGCGGTCGGAAGTGCAGCGAGAAGGAGAAGGCGAGTATGACAAAGGAGTCAGCAGTGATAGCGACGAAGTCGACGAGAGATAGAAGTGTGTAATCTTTGGGGAATTGCATGTCACTGCTGATTTTAGCCTTAAGGAATGAAGGAGTGAGTGGACAGGTGTGTCACTGACTTTGACTTTTACTGTAGATGCCTTTCACTCTATTGGTGTCATGTCGTACCAGTGATGAAATTTGCCATACTACTTATTGCAGCCATGAATTAGTTAAGCAAGTGCAACTACTACCTCTACTTCATTTACTGTTAGATGCTTGCAAATTGACCGCTACACGCATGCGCGTGTGGCATAGCAAAGTGGCTCAGTTCAATCCTCTACGTGGTCATTTACTTTTTCCTTTCTTTTACGTGCACAGTAAGAGTCTAGGCGCCGCAGATAGACACTACATAGAATGACAAGCGCAAAGCACTAAAGAGAAGTGATTGCACACCGCGATGACATACTTCCTCTTCCCCTCCTCCCTTTGCGCTATTTCTTTTCCAAAACGAAGCTTTAGGGCGCTTGAAGGCCCATATATAATTTTACAGACACTTGTTCTTTGTTGTCAGTGTCATAACATGATTAGCTACATCGATTCTTCTAGCAGGGAACACGTGGTCAAACTTCCCCCATGGCAGTAGTCATGAGGTGGTGTTGTATCTATGGTCACAGCTAATCCGACATCACGACTCACCCAGATGTTGTTATGTGGCCACTGTAACGAGAATTACTCATGTGTGGCAGCAAGAAAACATCATGAAATTCAAAACAAACTTTCAGGTAAGATAACGTGAGATAAGTTACGCAAACAAAGGTTTTTTTCTTTCTGGCTCTGGCGCTTCTGCCACGATTTCTCCATCTCATCCTCTCTGCTTTTTGATCAAAATGCGCGCAAAGTTGTGTGGGCTTTTGTTAATCACATCTTTCGTCCTCCATGTACCTAGTTTCTTTGACTATTGGTCATCTGTGTGATGCAGATTGCCTCGTTTACTGAGCCAGCCCTGCGGCAATATTTTGTTGTGCAAATTGAGAAGCCCTTCATTTTTGAAGACTGGGTATTGGAAAGTGAGATTTGAAACGGTGCAACATAACCGTATGCATGTCGCTTTTTAACACAAAAGCCAATACAGAGCAGTAAATGGGTAACAAATTGGTATGTGGAGACCACGAATGGGTATATATGCAAATCAAGTTGAATGCCTGCTTCTGGCCTGTCTCAGTTGGTCAATCTATCTCCTTCAGACGGATAATGGCTTGAAAGATAGAAATTCTTAGTCTGTTCTTTTGTGTTATTCAGTGTCGCAAGTGGCGTCTTGCACATGAAGTTGTCAACTGTCTGCAGCTGCACTACTGCCATTCATCTTCCGTCATCTCTATAGTGTTACGAAGTGTCCGTTAAATAAAGGATTACGGCACGCGTTGAGTTTTCCGACAGACCAATAAAGGGGTATGTACATCTGAAACAGAGGTATCTAATACCACCGACTGATGTAAAACCTGGTGAAGATATCTACAGCCCCCCTCGCACTTTTTCTCCTAGATATAAGATTCTAAAGTTTGTCCTCGGGCATTGATTCTTGATTGGCACTCCCACTGAAGTCGCCTATTTGGCCAATATGCCATTCAAACGCAAGGTGGTATTTGCAGGTGATCACGCTGGAATTAAGGCGACCAGATATTCTGTACATACGCGAGGATAGCTTTAACTCGCTGTCTAAAGCTTCCACCAGCACACGCTGATGCGAATTTGTGTTCCGGTTGTTTAAACATTGACGGCATTATTGACACCTCGAGCTGAGTATATCTATTGTCCATGAAGCCACAGGTTTACAAAATTTTGTCTCAACATTCAACTACGTCAAATTCTGAAGTATAAGTTCGTTTGCATTTGGTTTGCAAGTTTAGTTTGATCTCGACACATACTCCAACCTCTTAATTATGCAGATAGACAACATTCCACTAACCTACTTTAATCGGTCCTAGTAGCATCTTGGTGCCACTTCATCCTTTTGTACAGCAACACAGAAGCGAGGCAATATGTGCTGAGTAAGGTTAGAATTTGATAGGTAAGCTGAAAGGTAAGTGAATCTTTCCAAGTCACTCCAAATTATTGATCGACAGCAAACAGTGTTCAGCGAATTGTAGCATTTTTGATGGTCTTCCGTTACTACAATTATCCAAAATAGTAGGTCCAAATTTAATACTTGCTAACATAGCGTGACATGAATGCCATACCTCAGAGCAAAAATGCAATCTAAGGAGCCCGAAATGTGCAGCGTCTGTTTTTGTGGCTACGGTTATCTACAAGCGAGACGGATGTCAGGATTCCAAAATTGGTTTACAGATCATCATATTTCGATAAAATCTGCTTTACATTACTCGAATTCATTAGAGGGTGCAAAGCAGGGAGCATTTAACAATTTGAAATGCTGTGCCACGCAGGCGCTTGTAAATGCATTGCATACCCATTCGAGTAAGTTGCATATGTGCACACACATCATACTTTTCAAAAGAGATAACTGTATCTGACACTCCAAAGAGTTTTTTGTCATCATGCCCTTAAAACCGCTAACATGCTTCCACAGGCAGCACTATTAAAATATTATCATAGATTAATTATTGGAATGCAGACGGTAAATCTATTTTCGCAATTCTTTAAAGAGATGATTTGGAGGATCCCGAAGATGGTTCTTAACCCTTACACTGACATCAAATCCACACCTGTGAATAGTTGAAGTCATGCGCTACATGTACGGAGATCCACAGTAACCCATTTCTCTCGAAACTAAGGTCATATAAGCCAATCGCTCACACAGTGCGCAAATAAGCTTCAACAGACTAATTAATCAAATAGTTTACTTTTACATCTTTTACACAGGCAGTAATGGCGTGTTTGCAGCGAGTTTCAGCCTACTGCTAATGTCGATGGCAGCATTCATGAGGTGGTGTCGTATCTATGTTCATGGCTAATCTGACATCATGACCCACTCAGATGTTGTTATACGGCTACAGCAACGAAAATGACTCGAGCGTAGCTGCAAGAAAACATCGTAAATTTGGAGCGACGATTAGGAATTAAAGACCGCACATTCTGACAGTTCTTACCTCTAACTTCAGTTTCATTTTCGGGTACACTTTTCTGCATTTAGGGCTTTTGACACACAGGTTCCGTACATGTATTGCCTTTCTTCTTCGCAAATCCCACTGAAGGAGTGAGGAGTCACAGTCACTATGGCACATGTCAGAGATTCGTTAAGCAATTAATCACACGAATCATGAGGGGGTATTATAACCTACCCAGACATGTACTAGCGCACCTCTAGATATTGTGGATTTTATCAATCGTGTTAAAGGGATCACGTCGTCGCATAGCACAATCTACGAATCTTGTATTTGCCTCACCTATCTGTCCATGCACGGAGAAAGGCATAACAAGCCGTACCATATCGCAGCAAACCACACAACACCACGCCTTAAACCGACGACAAGCGAATTGGTTTGTATAAGGCGGCGGCATTGTTGATGAACCGTCCAACTAGGAAGCTCGAATTTACATTGCCTGGCTCTCGAATCTGCTAGACACTCCAGTTTAGGGGAGTCCTTCCAAACAATTCAATGCGGAAAACATTAAATGTCTCAAGGAACTCAAGCAAACGAAACAGATTGAAGTGCTAACAAACGTACACTTGTCATGATCGAACGCACCATTAGCAGCATATTACTGGCAGGAGGGTACACCACTTGTAGAACTTCCAAATGAGTCTCAAGCATTTGTGCTCTTTCGGCTTTTGTGGGATGGTGATGCATTGTAGTAGAGAGGAGAGTGATCGGGCTGTAGATCCTCACAAAGGGACCTGACGATACGAAAGCGCGCAGAATTATTGCTTTGTATGCCAAAAGTATTAAAGCTGGGACATCCGTTGATTGTATATTATTGTTAGGTTCATAATCTTAAGTTAATCATTTCAAAAGTTATTTTCCTTTTCAAAGGCGCCAAAAATTTCTTTTATTTTCATTAAAGTCGATTGGAAGCATTTTCAATTTCCGCATTTCACCCCTTGTCTATATATTTTAGTCATGTCAGAGGCATTGCTGGTGCTGATAATTTTAAAGATGTGGCAATTTAGTAAACAAATGAAGTGCTTTCCTTGTGACTGCACAGATTTAAGTTCCTGCTGTTTCCTAACAAGCTTACTAACTTTATTTCTCACCAGCGAATTTCTCTTCGTTGTTTGTTTACCTATTTTTGTGCACAATAAATTTGTTTTCTGTATAATCTACACTATTGTTCCTGAGGTAATTTCATTTCCTTGCGAGTGCTAAATTGTCAACGTTTTTGCTAGAAATTTGTGGGTGTGAATTTAGAGCCTACAATATGACTGCAATTTTACTGCATGCTTACTTGCGGTGAGTTTACGTGGACGCATTTGCGTATTCTCCTCTATTCACAGTTTAGGTGTATTCGCCACAAACGAGTGCTTGTGTTCCTAGCATTGCAGCAAAGGCTTTCAGCTTTTTTAACTAAAGCATTGCTATTGCATGTTTAAGTTGGCTTGGTGCTTAAGTGATCGCCATAGGCTAGGCCCTTCTCACATACCTCTGGTATTATCAGCAGTCTAGACGTGCGTGTTATTTCGTTTTCAGGATCTGAACAACTTCGTGCTCCAGCCAACCACTAAGATAACTCGCGTTCACTTGTGCATACTCACATAAATGAAGGCATTTGAACAGCTACATACAACTGTGTTCCAATGTCAGCAGCGTGGTTTAAGGACATGTTAATTCTGCCCATGCACATGAGCCACTGGAAGGATTTCAAACAATTGTAAAGGGTACAGCATAAGAGGTTGGGTAGCTAAAAACGTCCCTTATCCTGTCCATTCTACTTAGGCTTATAGGCTGGATAGAAGGTGAGCTACTTCTATTTTACCTAAATGACGCTTTTGTCTGGGGCTACAGTAAGATATAACACAAAAGAAGGGACAGCAAAGTGAGATGTTTTTCCCAGAATTTACTCGGATTAATCGCGTTAGTGTGTGTATTTGCTTGTTATGCTCCACTATCACCACCAACTGCTCGCTCTGCAAGTGGGAAGTGCACACCACATCACCGTCCAGGCAGAATTTATACATGTGTGCGTGTGTGTGGTGTAGTCCAGACGGACATGCCGAATGCCATACAATCAGAGGCCAAAATCTATAGCCCGCTCTCCACCCCTACTACTCAGGTTTGCATGTAGGTAACCTTCAACTCTTCTAACTGGTCACTTTATCCAATACTAAGTAGTAGAGGTAGGATAAAGAACGCCAGACGTTGATAAAACCCTTTGCAAAGAAGTCAAAATTGTCAGCAAGTCGGTTGCATTGGGGAGTTGCCGTGGGTAGGGGCGATAAAGAAGCAGAAAAAGGGGAAAGAGAGATCATGTTTATTTGACAAAATAATGCAGAAACCTAGATGAAAATAGGAGATTAAAATTGGGCTTTGTATCAAAAATATGGGATAGGAAAAGAAATCGAAAGAGAAAAATAACCATTCCTTTCGAGAAAAGGGAGCAGACTATCCCGCCTGGTTTAGCGAGCCACGTTAGGGATGAAGTAATTAAGCGGTGTAGAAAAACACCGAATTCCCCGTAACCCAAAAATTTATCCTATCTACCCCTGTAAAAGCATTCAACTATTCACCTGTCACGCCTCTAATCTTCCACTTTTCCCCTTCTTTTGGCAAGTAAATACGCAAAAAATTCATTACTGGACGAAACATTTCTTTGATCTAGTGGATTTATCACAGGTGTGTGACGTGGAGAAAATGAAAAATCTTTTGAAGTACACCTACGGGGCAGATATACTTTGCACATTTTACAGCATGACAATTTACCAGCCATTTTGGGGTGGAACGAAAGGACATCTATAGAAAATGATTAATTTACTCCATGTTCCCTCTTGAACAAGACAGAAAGTAGGTAACAAAATCACCAATTTTGAGTTCATTTGGTGAATTCAAACAAGGTAGATGACACACGATGTCGTCATGACATTGCATTAATGTTAAAATTTTCATCTTTTGCTGCCCAAATCCACGTTCTGCACTGAATTGAGGGCGTCTCAGCCCCTCCGCATTACGCAGCTCTTAAACACTCTTCCCCCCCAATAATGAAAACGTTACAGTAGATGTGACTCAGGGGGATAAACTTCCTGACGTGGCTAAAAAAAGCAGCCGAACTGAACCCATGAGGTAGAAAAGAAGGAAACTGCTGTGAAAAGAACGACACGACGGTGTCTCTTGACGAGCCTTTTAATTACGAGCAATAAGAATCGCCAAGTGCTCTCGCCTCTGGCCATGAGGTCAACAACTTTTGCCAGACACGCGACTCTGAAAACCTTTTATATAATCTCTGACACTAAATCTCAAGTCCATCTGCAGTGATATATTTGAGCATTGCAAATGGTGCTTTGTTCCGTTGTTTTGTCTAAATTCGCATCATATGCCACTTACCGATTTAGTAAGTGTCACCCCTCCATGGTATAAGTTTACCGTGCCACCTCTAGCCTTACAAGTAAAGCTTTGAAGAGGCAAAACATAAGAATTAGTATGTAAAAGGATCTAGGCTGCGAAACGCGTCATTCCGCCTGTATAAGCAACAGCGCAGTGCCATAAATCTTCGTAATTGGATAGCTCTCGCCTTAGTGTCATAAAAGGTCTTTTCCCTTCCATAATATTTTATTCCTCCATAGCATACAGCTTCGTTCTTGTCACCTCTACCTCTCTCTTTACACTTTGTTTCAGAAACATATCCTTTATTTCGAATGAGATTTGTGGGGTTGCGTTATGCCAAAAAGGCAAAAAATGTAACAATTATCACTTGAAAATGTATTTTTGAGTGAAAACGATCTCAGTAGAGAGTGAGGCAGCAACTATCCCCAACATCCTAGAGTCCATAAACAGGACAAGCCTTGACTGCTACCAAAGAAGCTTTCCTTCGGATCAGGTAGATGGAAGGATCTCAGCCTTTGCTGTCCTATCGCCGTCGGCAGGCTAACGGTTTCACGTGAATGGTTTTGTCGGTAGTTCACTGCGCACACAAAGGAATCACAGTCTTGCAGGAATGAAGTGGTGTGCGCCTTGGCTGTGTACGAAGAGTGGTAACTAGGATCCCTTTAGGCAAATAATTGATGGGTTTTGAGGTCCACTTATCAGTCAACTGTGAGGTGCCCAAAAATGAGACATTTCTTTGATGACCTTTCGCCACTTCCCAACAGATGTGATAATTTGCCTCTTGTCTCGTTGTCACAGTTGGCAAAGAGTTTTGATCAACCTAATCCACTGTTAGCAAGTATACAGTAGCAGACACCGCGTCTTCTTTTGTTATACTATGTTAACGCAGCTAGTGGTATCTAGCACTACGCATAGGCTATTTTTGGTGCTCTCACTACGTCCTCTGTTCGCTGCTATCATATTATCTACACAAGGCCGGCACTGATCTGAAAGCATTCCATATCAACTTAAATTGAACCCTTGGATTCTCATTACAAAAATGGTCTTTACGTACTCTCTGCCCTCTACCAATAATGTGCCTCAAAAACAGCTTCATTCAACCTGCATGTCTGTGCAAAGGAGCATGGCATGCTGGCAGGGGTGATTAAGAAGAAGGGAGGAATGCTACTAGTTAACGCTGCTCATTTGGGATGCTTCATTTTTCTTGTTATTGTTAACTTGAATCGCCTCTTGACTGTCACCCAAATGATCGCTACTTTAAATAAGGAAGTTGTCAAGCCCGACAAACGAAAGTTTTGCCTCTCGGTTGTCAACCGAATGAAGGCCAATTGAATTTGCACCATGCCTCTACATTTTGCTTTTCTTTTGAGGAGGTCTGAAGACCACTGCCTAGATCTACAGCTTGATGTCCGAGAAGTAGCTCTCAGGTCGTATTCTGCCTAGCATCAATCAGGATAGTGGAATCGTAAAGTTTATTTTCCCCAAGAATTTGCCATCTTCAAGAAATTTACCATTGAACTGCGTATATCTACTCATACTTGGAGGGTCAATGAGAGTTGTACAAATTTGGCTGTTTCAGCACTACTAAAAAGAGGCCCTAATTCAAGGTGTAGAATTATAGGCACTTAAATCACCTAAGACATATTCCACCAGTGATTACACTTGCAATTCAAAACCTCTCGAAAAATGGACAGATTTATCTAGCTTCTTCCCCTCCATTCTGTACCTTCCTCGACCAAACCTCCAACACGCCAGGTGGGGGGAACTGCATCTGTGTAGCCAGTTGAAGGTTCCTTAGAGAGTTCTTGAACGCCGAAGGTATGATGTTCTTTGTTAGGACACTGTAAACGAACTCCATAAGTAGGTAAGTAAATAAAGGACGAGCCTAACTACTCTACAAGACTCAAGATGAATGCTGTTTTAACTCCACTCAGACTACTTTTAATGCAGTTGTCCCGCCAAAGTATTGGAGAAAACGTACTCTCACTCCTAAAATTCCATACCGGTAGTGAAAGAGAAATTAAAATTTTACTGAGCAGTTCTTCACAAAGAGCCAATAATAAAAATATAAAGAGTCACAACAGTTGGAATCTCCATTGCATGAATGAGATAATCCTTGACATCTAGGCGAACTTCCATGAAGTTTAGGAGAAAACGAAATCCTAAGCCTGAAATTTTCGACATTTCGTGTGCCCAAATAAATAAACATCTCATCAAAACTGCATGTTTAGCTTCAGTTTACATATTATTGCAGAATCTACTCAAGAGCTCAGTCATTGGTATCCTGCTCCTTAATAAAACCTGATAATATGTTCGGACGCTGTGAGGTCATCGCATCTTGGTGGTGTGGCGCTCTGCCCTACCGATTCTTCTGGCCAGCAATTAACTCAATTAGCACCTCTGAACATCTGTCCACCGTTAGAGAAGCCTCCAACTGATGGATGACTGAAATTTCACTCATTGAGGAGGTGAAACTTGTCGTTAAGTAACTGATGACTACTGAAAAGATACTAGTCAGCAAGTTAGTGGTGACTGATGTACAACGTAGAACGATAGCGATTCACTACTTGTAGCGCCATGACGTCATCGTCGGGTCCACTCGAGATTGTTCGGCTTTGATGTCATAAGCACGTGGGATAACACATTTGTGATCTAGATGAGTAAACCTCTATGCCCAGGCATCTGCCATGTTTGCAGTGAGCACCCGAATGCTCTTCCATGTGCAAAAGCATACTGCAGAGTTCCTAACTAGAATAATCAGGTGGCAGATCCTTTAACGCGGAGGTCTTTATTTGTCTACGAATATGACTAACCTGCGGGCGCTACGGGTGCTCATATGATGGCCGATTGAGTGATGGGAATCAAGGTGGTCCCATTCTCTCCCTATCATGGTATTTTGATTAACCCCTGACCCTGTAGTGGTTATTGACATATTTTTAACTACCTGTAGGTGATATTTGACATTCATGGAAAGTAATCAAGAGCTAGAGTTTAGGAACCTGGGTAGGATGCTCGAGTAGTGGATGCAAAAACATTAACCTTTGACGAATCGCAGCAGTTACCTACTCTGGGCAAGCCCACCTTCTCCTTCCAACCTCACATCGAAAGTATTGACATCATCGGGTTTACTTTTAACAGTTTTTTTGCCTCACCCTCCGGACTCCAATGTAAATATGACGGTAGGCGAATCATTCGAAATACGGGACGCCTACTTTTTATCGCATCCAACTGGGCCACCTGAAGTTATTACAACTTTCGTATCCATGATGACAAGATGTCTTACTTGACAGCGGCTCGTCTGCGATACTTTCTATTAATATACCAAAAAATGCAACTTCTCGCATCTGGAGTTGAAATCGCCAGTGTCAAAATGGCGTAGTCATCTAGGGTCTATTTTTATTGACGGCTACTACTTTGCAGCTGGCATGTTAATAACCAGCGGAAGGACTGGTGAGCTTTTGTGCAGGCAAAAGGCATGTCACCAGGATGGAGAGCGAAGCAGCATGGTAGTGATTCTCCCTTTTCTCGATTTTAAGCCTTCAACTCCCCAGAACACTAACAATGATCCAACGTAATCCTATAGGAGGAGTAGCATATCCTTACACACTTCATTGTCAAATCTTCACCCTTTTTAAATGGACCCACGTAGTCTGCAATGGCATTGTCTCAAACTAGCACTGGCTACTAGCGCTGGTTTCAAGTCTGGTTGGATTCTCACCTCATACATGATATCTAAAGTCCGTCTGCCTTGGGTATGCTAAGATTCTGCCTTCATATCTCTATAAAACTTTGATGCGTCGTGTTGGACATGGGAATTGCTTCCCACAATTTTAGAGTTGTCTCATCACTTGAATTTCCAAGTCGGTTCATAACTGGCGACAGTTGTATCAGTGTGTGTTGGATAAGAGATGACACTCAGGCGAAGGAAGGCTGGTCTTGGAGGGCAGAAGTGATGCTTGTCGAGGAAGTATTTGGTAAGTTGTGAGTGGATGCTCGTAGAGGGATAACCTGCAATGAGTTCGTTTGCTTACCGTTACAATAGAGTCCATACTTTGGTAGGCAATAGGAGGGACTGGGCACAATTTGATGGTTGATGCCTTTGATCTGCAAAAGCAGCAGCACTTATCTATTATTGATCACCACATCTTTAACTTAAGCGTGTATTTTAGGGATATCGTTGTATCCAGCGTACAAATGTCCTACTTCGAAATTCTTGTCCTCTTACCAGCAAAATTTCCGATAGATAGCACTTATAAATACAAAGTAGATTACGAAATAATGCCGAAATTTGATATAAATGCAATAAAAAGCAAAGTAGATGCAGTCAAAAAAGGAATGGAGACATAAGCTAAACTTACTATTAAATTCCAAACTAGCTTGCTGCATAAATCTCATTTCTGGATGGATTTGTGGCCTGCCCTCACCCATAACCCAGTTTTTCACCGTTACCGTTACTATCCTCACATCAAACCACGACACTGGCCACTGCAAAAAGGAGGGAAAAAAGAGGAGGCAGGAGCAAAGTCCTAATGCCTCTGTTTGGTTTAATCTAGCAGTGGCGGGAATGGCATTCAAATGTGGCAGTTGTTAAGTCCCTGGATAATTTCCTCGTTATCATTTACCTCCTTAACGATCGGTTGACACGCATTTTTCCTTTCTGTCATAACTGAAGGTGTAACCAAAGATGTGTGGGGATTCACACTTACAGTTGTGTGTGTGAGAGGGAGTGAGTGAGTGGATAGGGGATGTAGGGAAATAGAGTGGGAGGAAACTTAGGGTAACAGTGCAAACATGACCTGGACAAGATGGAGGGATTTTGGCAAAATGTGCTGTAATTTAGTCTATTGTAACCCTATGGCACATGAAGAAGTACGGGTGTGGGTTTGTTCTCGCACAAAGGCATGATGCAATCTATTCAACTATCAAATTGTGCCCAGTCTCTCCTATTGCCTACCAAAGTATGGACTCTATTGTAACGGTAAGCAAACGAACTCATTGCAGGTTATCCCTCTACGAGCATCCACTCACAACCCACCAAATACTTCCTCGACAAGCATCACTTCTGCCCTCCAAGATCAGCCTTCCTTCGTCTGAGTGTCGTTTCTTATCCAACACAGACTGATACAACTGTTAGGTTTGCTAGAAAAGCTACCGCTGCACTACTACTCATTAACCTGGAGGGACCAACGCAAAACCCTCTCCCATTCTCAAACTTACTCGGAAGATAATTTGCGTGCCCCAGCAGATGGGAGGAAATGACAGTGGGAAGCAGGGAAAGAGACAGGCAAAGAGAGAGGGAGGTGTCACTTCATCTTTGCTGGCGTTCTGCGTGTATCCCCAGCATCTCCTTAAATGTTCATAAGTAAATTTCTTGGCATGTGTGAATCACATGTGAAGTACATTCGACAAACAGTAAATAGAGCTGAGATGAGAAACAAGCATAAAATCTTCCCAAAAATGACTTCTTTTGCATCGCCTCTACATCTAACACAATGGAATCCCTTTAAAAAATTGACGGCACATCATCGCTCTATCCTTTTTCTCAATCATATAAATCATTTTTGATTGATGAAGGAGGATGCAGAATTGCCGTGGTTTATTTTTCGCTCCATTAAAGCATAATCGTTAATAAGACAAGAACACATTTCGTTTTAACAACACTTGTTACCGACGCCCGTCCCATGACCAAGGAGACGAAATCGATTTCCAAAGAGTAGACAAGCCCTGATCACCCGCCTACAACAACACTTCTTCCAGAGTATTACGATGCCTGCGGCTTGCCAATGTGTGCGCTTGGTTGAGCCTCGTAAGATCGTTTCTAAGAGGCCAAATTGCCTGCAGAAGGATGAGCATGGGGGCTGAATGAGTGATCCACCCTGGATCTTTTCAAAGGAGGCTAGCTTGAAATCCACAATTCTGTGCAAGGGACTGGGTTGACTACTCCACTGTGCTCACACACCGGGTAAATAACCTGGGCAAGGCATCTAAAAACTACGCCGAATTCATTCAGCTTGAACATTTTTGACATTCTATCTTACTGACAAGGCAATTTTTGCCTACGGACTAGCCTTTACCGATGGAATATGTTATTGAGACGAAGTTGGTGAATTTACAGGCAAGACAGTAATTTAGAGCAGCTGGTAAGAAGAAGACAATTTCCTACGATTGCTCGCATAACTACGGTGCGAAGAGGTAGAGATCAAATTACTACAATCTTGGCTAGGATTAGGGACAGTAATAACTTTGACAACTTGTCTGTAATTCATGCTTCAAACGAGAAGGCCTGGGAGACGAGAAGCATTGGATGGAGTTAGCCGAGTTTCGTGTCATCTGCATTGGGAGTGGCTCACGAAAATCTCAAGAGCCACCAGAAAAGCGCTGCAGGCCACTTGTCTCATCTACTCCCATTTAGCTACACTCATCCACAATCCCACCTTTAATCCAAATTA